CACGTTTCTCACATTAAAACTATAAGTAGAATAACAATTTCATTGGTATAAAAAATACATAAAAAATAATTAAACAAAAACTCCAACAACAAGAACAACGATGACAACTTTATGAAACAGCAACAAAAAATAATTAACGCCAGATTTCATAAAATTGCAACAATCCAATAGAAACACAAACTTGTCGAGGAACTCCGCTCTGGGGTACTACGAGCCATGTTCGAAGGGGTTGTGCAAGGTGTATAAGCACCTCGGCAAACGAAGTTGCTCGCGCCAACAATCAGTAACAACAACACCAACCAATCAATTATCCATAATTGCAACAAACCGACCAAAACACATCGCACCACTACCAACAAGAACAACAGCGACGACGACAGCCGTAAATCAAAAAATATTTCAAAATTTATTTTCGTATTGTTGTTGTTGTTGCTAAATTAGATTTTTTTTTCATAATTGTTTTCTTGAAACTTTTGACGAAATATCTCGAACTGAAAACAATGCGATATAATTTTTTATATTCGATTTCAGCACAGTTTTTTTTATGATACGACTATTGTTGAAGTCAATAATGATTTGAAATAAAACCAATCAAACACACAAAAATGGTAGAAAATGTTGTTGCAGTTTTCAGGTTTCAAAGAATTTGGCATTCCAATTTTAAAGTTGTTGTCAAATAATTTCTAGGGTCAAAATCACAAATTTTCAGATTTTGCTTAATATGCAATATGAGACGAGCTATTTTCAATTTAAAACAATAATAGTTTTAATTCCGAAATTACATTTTTCTATTAATTGAGGACCTCTCGTCAACACAACCCCACAACATTATTGAGTACGGCCCAGCTCTTCTTTGTTATATTGTATAACCTTAGTGATGACTATATCATAATTATTATTTTTTTTTCAATACCAAAAAAACCATCCCATAATTTTATCCAACCACAAAAGATACACAATGGCTCAGCATTATTTTTGTAACAATTAGTAACCTTAGATGGGGTCTTGTATTTATTTTTTTTTTTCAACAACGTCATTGCAGTCAATGGGGGCCTGCATTCACGCAGTTATTCATTCATGAGTTCAACACACACTTTTACAATTTTGAATCGCACAAAAATGGAACTTTAATAATCCATAACATTAAACGGTTAGAAAAATAAATTGAAATCAATTAGAAACGCTTGATATTGAAAAAAGCAAACAACAACAAAAATCGAAGCAAGGCACCCAAAAAATATTTTGATACCTCTCTTTCAGTGGCCATTTGTAGCGGTAACTGTAATCATGGCAGCGCAACAAATTGATAATTTTTCTTTAAACGGAAGTAGGTAAAGCTTCCAAGTGAAATAGTTTTAGAAGTGGATGCAGTTGACATGATGGTTGATGCAGTGCACCCGAGGAAAAATGTTAGTTAACTTTTTTTCCAATTTTGCAGTAAGAGTAAATCATTTATGAATGACCTCCAGAAGGTCTCTAAGGAAAGTCACTTAAGAAAGGACCAACGTCACTATATGACACCCTACACCACAATACATCTTTAGCAGATCTACCCGTAATAACGATAAAAGTTATTTATATATGTGCTTTATTTATAGCTGAAGTGATTTCGATAAAATTAGACCATTGGGGAACTTGACCGATTTTCACAAAATTGCATAAACTTACTTCTTAAGCGAATTCGGTCGATTGCGGCATTTTGAACGATCTTACGCATAGAAATTAAATCGGGTGATGATATTTATAAAATCTACCGAAATAACCTAAATATTGGTCTCTCCTTAGAAAGTGATTCAATTCAGATCCCAAAAAGGAACTACAGGTCTATCTGGCTTCCTTTTTTTATATTACAAGCAACTGCATATAGACATAATACCCTATACTCCAGTGGGATGTAGGGTATAAAATTATCTTTAGGCGGTATTTACGTAGAGAAGAACTCTAAGGAACCTTATGTATTTGGAAAACCTTCACAAGAGCATCGACTTGTAAAGTGTAATGAATGCTTCCAATGAGGACTTCAGAAAGGTCCCTTTGGCCCAGAGGACCTGAAAAAGCTATACAGAGGACCTATAGAAGGGTTCGTATTTATAAAAGACCTCCAAAAGGCCTTTGAACTAGACATCTACTTGTTAAAAGCTTCAAAAAGAACTCCTTTGCAGAAAAGAAAAGTTCTCCAGAAGGTATTTTACGCAATTCTTTCTTAGAAAGAAGGGCTCGTATGTATGGAATACCTCCCGAAGCCCGTCAAGGAGAACTTCTTTGCGTTAAAGACCTTAAAGAGGACTTCTATGCAGAAAAAACCTCCATTATGTAAAGACTACCTGAAGAAGGTCCTCTAGAAGAGCTTTAAAAGGTCTCCCATGAGTAAATGACCTTCCTGAAGTCCTTTATATAAAAAGGATTTCAGAAATCTTCCCTTTTCGGAAGTATGAGAAGGTTTTAACAAGTAAAAGAACATTAAGTTCGGCCGGGCCGAAACATTAGAAGAAATGTGGCAAAAACCATTAAATTACCGAATATCGGGAGGTACCGTTATATGGGGGCTATACCAAAACGTGGACCTATAATTACAATGTTTCGCTACACGAACTAGGACCCATTATGACCCACAAATACCTATTTTTAGACAAATCAGTGAAAAAATGTAGCAAAAACCATAAAAATACCGAATATCGGGATGTACCGTTATATGGGGGCTATATCAAATCATGGACCCATACATGCAATGTTTCGCCACCGAAGCTGGAAACCATTATGACCCACAAATACCAATTTTTAGACAAATCCGTGAAAAAATGTGGAAAAAAAAACTAAAATACCGAATATCGGGATGTACCTTTATATGGGGGCTATACCACAACGTGGACCTATACATGTAATGTTTTGCCACACGCTCAGGGACCCGTTATGACCTACAAATACCAATTTCCAGACAAATCCGTGAAAAAATGTGGCATTACTCATCAAAATACCGAATATCGGGAGGTACCGTTATATGGGGACTATACCAGAACGTGGACCGATATATCTCATTTTCAATACCAACCATCCTAGACACAATGCAAATAGCTCTACTAAATTTTGGCGCTCTACGTCAAATAATGTGGGCTGTATCGTGATTTCAACAGACAGACGGACAGACAGACAGACAGACGGACATCGTTAAATCGACTTAGAATTTTATGCTGATTATGAATATATATACTTTATGGGGTCTAAGACGAATATTTAAGGATGTTACAAACGGAATGACAAAGTTAATATACCCTCCTTTCCAAGGTGGAGGGTATAAAAATGGCTGTTTATCTATGTAAGACTGAGGACCCTGAGGAGGACTCCTTTTTTTCCTGTGTAGGTTTTGTGGATAGAAGATCAAGAGAATGTCCTTGAGATGGTCTTTTATCTATAGAGGACATTAGGAAGAATTGTGTCTATAGAAGATATTTTATATATGAAAAACCTCGAAGGCTCTGTATAAGTAAAAGACCTTGAAAAGTTTGGGAAGGTCCTCTATTCGGAGAAAAGTATTTTGCAACGGAAGACATTGAGAACGGCTTATATTAATAAAAGTAGTTTTAAGATATTGGGAAGGTCTTGTATCTGTATAAGGCTTTTGAGAAAACCTTGTATGAAAAGAACACCTGAGAAGAGTTAGTGAAATTAAAAAGGTTGGATGAGGAAATACCTTAAGAAAATCTTCTATATAAAGAAGACTTGAATAAGGTCTGCCATAATTATTAGACATTGAGAAGGGCTTGTATCTAGAGAAGACCTGGAGGTGATAATTTATCTTTAGAAGTAATTGAGTTTCTTTGTTTATCTGTATAATACCTTGGAAATATTTTCAATCCATGGAGAGTCTTGAGAACATCTATATTGCTTTTTTACCTACATATAGTTTTAAAAGGGCCCGGAGAAGGTATTGTATTTTTAAAGGTCTCTAAAGAAGATCTTGGAAAGTCTTCTATCTATATAGGATCCTAAAATGGTCTTTGTGTCCTTAGAATATTTCGAAAAATTCGAGGACCTCTATCTCCTCCCCATATTTCTCGTATATAGAATTGTTTTGCAATTTATGATTCTAGGTAGGCCTTTTATCTTGTCAGTCCATAGAATTTTGACATTTTTTGCCTATAAAATATCAGGCGAATGTCTTATAGCTTCTGAGAAACTCTTTCGATGGTCTTCCAAAACCTGGACTTAGATAGATGGATTATGGAAAAGTGTTCATGTTTTTAAGAAGACTGAGGCTATGTTTCAGAAATGAAACGCTAGCCAAATTTTCGGTTTAACTCAAAAAAAAAAAATATATATATATATAAATATATATATATATATATATATATATATATATATATATATATATATATATATATATATATATATATATATATATAATATATATATATATATATATATATATATATATATATATATATATATATATATATATATATACATTTTAATAAACCAATTTTTGGAATGGGGGTTTTTGTCGTATTGACAAAGCAGGCCCAAATATATAATTTAAATTACTTATCTAATAATGAACACCTCCCATTAAAATTGAACCAACATTTTTCTCCGAGTGTTGACATTATGCCATGCGCTTACAACAAGTGAATGACCCACATTAGACACCGAACAATTAATAAGTAATTAATTATATTTGACACAGTTTATACACCAAACTTTAATTTTTTTCTATCGCTATTTTTTCTAATTTCATCAATAAATTGTTAAATAATAGCCTATCTGTCTGTCTCGATCGAAGTCATTGAATTTAATTTCAAATTGTAAATATTATGCAAGTATTAGCTAATAAGTTTACTAGCGCGGTATTATTGTTTTCTTTGTTAGCACCAGTTGGCATTGTTTCGTTATTTCTTAGTCAACAAATTATATTTACAAAATTGCATTAAAACAATAATAATTTTTTTTATTGGTAATTATGGTTTTTTCATTTCGTGTTTTTTTTCAATTCTCTCTCTTTGCAGATGCCAAGTTATCGTCAATATTTATTTCTATCTAAAATGCTTCATTAGCGTTTTATAGACAAGACACTGCAGTCTTGTTTTGAGAAAAAAAAAAAAAAAATAAATAAAGGAAAGAAAACATTACCCGGAACAGCTTCTTAGAAATTTCGAATCGAAACATCATAATCATCAGAGTAATCATCATCTGCGTCAACAAATACCATTCGTCCTCATTTGCCGACTTCCCATTAGCTGTAGTTCCAGTACCACCACCACACCTACCCGTTATAGTCTTCCGTAAATATCAATGCAAACGGTTTGAATTTATCGGTTGTTAAACTCAAGTGATAACTTTATTAATTAAGGCTTTGAAAAAACGAAATTAAATACCACATACCCAACACCACCATCACCACTCACTTCTCCACCTCCTGCTCCCATCATTGCTTTTTTATCAAACATGCCATATATTCCCAATATCAGTAGTAAAATGAGCAACAAAATGAGCAGCAACACCTCTTTGGACAATACCTCCGATCAGGATTACAGTGAATTCCTCAATGAGTATTTGTTGCAGACCCACTCGCCGCACAATGAACCGGAAACTCATTATGAAGGTAAGTTGCTGTAGCAACAACAAAGTCCTTTTTTGGGGGGCAATAAAAATTGCATTTCATTTGATTTCAATTAATTTTTGGTAACTTGTTTTCTCCGTTTTTTGCAGAGGGTGAATTCGAAGCTGAGTGGTTAATTGCTGCCGGTTTTCCACAATTAACCAAACCATTTGAACAGGTATGTACAGGAAAGATACAAATTATTACTCTTTTGGATACTAAAAAAACACAACATTTGAAATGCATGGCAGAAAAAAAAACGAACATTAACACCATTAGATTGCCGGGTCCTTGAAAGGTTTCGGCGATAAGAAAACTAATATACCATAGATTTTATAGACCCATTAGTTGCATGTCGTAATTTAATTACCAACGAAAAAAGAATATAGCTATTGACAATTTTCGAATACAATCTTGCCGGAATGTGATATGTAGATAATGAAATTTTAGCCGAATTTTATGTTAGAATTTTATTAGTCATTAATGATTGGAATTTCGGAGAAGTTTCAAAAAATCATAGTCTTGTGAGCCATCATTATCTGTAATAAATTTTGAGTGTTAATATTAAGTTCTGTGGTATTAGAAATCGGGGAGTAGAGAAAGCAATAGGTATAAATAATTACTCACGATTTTATGTAGGAAGGCTTACTGATCTTATGATACAAAAAATCTTCCAAATATGTGCATCCTCTATTCTCAAGATATTATAGAAAATTATTTAACCTCCAAAAGATCTGGCATATTTATTAGATGTGAGGAATATTTTGCATAAAAAAATATTAAAGAGTCTTCCATTTATCGATGTTGAAGATTTTAAGAGAGTCTACATTCTAATAAATACTTCCAATCTAATAAATATTCCTGTACTTTTTGATTGTAAAAAAGGTTATTTTTCGATTTTACGACTGTAGATTTTTCATACGCATCAGAAAAGTTCGACGTCTAGGTAGCTCTTAGATTTATTTCTTGAAAAATCGACGTCTAGATAGCTTTTAGATTTATTTCTTTTAAATTCTTTTAAAATTTTTCTTTGAAAATTCACGTCCAGATGGCTCTTCGACTCATTAGATTAAATTTAATTTTTGTTCAAATCCATGTTTATGTAGCTCTTAAATTAATTTCTACGAAAATTAATGTCTAACTGGCTCTTAAAAATCCACGTCTAGATGGTCTTTAGATTTATTTAAAAAAAACCACGTTTATGTGACTCTTAGATTTATTTTTGTGAAAATTAACCTCTAGGTGGATCTTCGATTTATTTCTTTGAAAATCCTCGTCCAGATGATTCTTCGTTTCATTTCTTTAAAAATCCACATCTAGATGGCCCTTGGATTTATTTTTTTAATCCATGTTTATTTATTTTTTTCTATAAAAATCCACCTCTAGGTGGCTACTATATTTATTCCTTTGAAAATCCATATTTATGTGGCTCTTAGATTAATTTCTATGAAAATTAATGTCAAAGTGGCCCTTAAAAATCCACGACTAGATGGCCCTTAGATTCCATGTTTATGTGGCTCTAAGATTTATTTCTTTGAAAATTAACGTTTAGGTGGATCTTCGATGTATTTCTTTAAAAATCCACGTTTAGGCGGCTATTCGATTCATTTCTTTGAAAATCCACATCTAGATGGCTCTATAATATTTATTTTTCTTAAATCCATGTCTATATGGCTTTTACATTTATTTCTTTGAAAATTGACGTCTAAGTGGCTCTTAGAATTATTTCGTTAAAAATCGACGTCTAGATGGCCTTAGATTTATTTTTCTTAAATCCATGTTTTTGTGGCTCTTTGATTTATTTATTTGAAAATCCACGTCCAGATGGCTCTTTGATCCATTTCTTTAAAAATCCACATCTAGATGCCCCTTTGATTTTGTTTTAAATCCATGTTTATGGGACTCTTAGCTGCATTAACGTGAAAATTAACGTCTACGTGGCTCCTTAAATTATTTATTTAAAAATCCACGTATAGATGCCTCCTCGATGTATTTCTTTAAAAATACACATCTATATGGCTCTTAAATTTATTTCTTTAAAACCCTGCGTCTACATGGCTCTTGTATTTATTTCTAGGAGCTCTCAGATTTACTTATTTAAAAATCCACGTCCAGGTGGGTCTAAGATTTACTTCCTTAAAAATCCACGTCCAGGTGGGATTTACTTCCTTAAAAATCCACGTCCAGGTGGGATTTACTTCTTTAAAAATCCACGTCCAGGTGGGATTTACTTCTTTAAAAACTCATGCCTATAGGTGGCTCTTAGATGTGTTTATGTCAAAATCGACGTCTAGATGGCTCTTAGATAAAATTTTTGAAAATCCACATGTGTGTGGCCTTTAAAATTGTTTATTTAAAAATCCACGCCCAGGTGGTCTTTAGAGTTTTTATTTAATAACTCGTAGTCTAAAATTGTTTAAATTTTTCTAAAAAATACACATTCCAAGTGGCCCTTAATAAATGTGTGAACTCAATATTTTTTTCTTCTGGCGCTTGATAATCTTTGTAGGACCACGTCAAGGTGGCTCTTGGAAAAATTATCTCTATAAAATACTCGTCTAGGTGTACCATGAAAATGATATTTTCGAAAAAAACCCACATAAAGATTTCTCTAAAAAATAAGAATTAAAAACTACAGGTCCAAGTGCTTCTTGTAAAATATTGTAAAAAAATATATAAATAAAAAACAAGCAAAAAAAGATAAGAAATTCATTATTTTAAAAAGACTTCCTCCAAAAAACCGAAATCAAAATATTGCTTCTTGAAAAATCCAACTATAGATGCCCATGGAAATAAATTTTTTTGTCGCTCAGGAAAATAATGTGATTAAATAACGTCTGGGTGTTCTTAAGAAAATGTGCCCTCGGAATTCTGCATCCTTGAAAAAAGTCTTAAACATCCACATCAAGGTGGCGCTTGTAAAAAAAATTAAACAGGTTACCTCTTGTCAGAATAATATATAACAAATCTACATCGAAGTGACCCTGGTCAAAAATCTTTAAATCCACAAAGAAAAAAATAGGAGAAACATGTTTCTACTCGATTTCCTAAAGACTTCATGCAACGGTGGCTCCCTATATTTTATTGGCGTTCCTTTTAAAAACTTTAAACAGAATAACTCACCAGAATTGACCGTAGATGTCGTTCTGCTATAATATTTCAGAATAAAAATGATAAATAAAATTAATGGCACTGAGAATTTTGTTCTAGAACGTGTGAAAATCTTTATACTTTATTCAATTTTTTTTTCACCACATTCTAGAACCCTAGCTTCCGAATGAAATGAAGTAGGTGTACAAAATTTCACTCAAATGTGTTTTAGGTCCATAGGTAACGAAAATGGGCCATATAGGTCCAGGCATTGGTATAACCCCATATAATTGCACAGGCAGATTTTGGGTGGTTTCTTTAAAAAAATGTTATTTAAACATTTTTTTTTTTTGATATTTAGTAGCACAAATATCCTTGAACACCAATTTGTGATCAAAGAAATGAGTATTCCAATTTTCAAATGAGCTTCTTGACAATACTGCAGTTCTGGCTATAGAGTAACACATGTTTGGATTAAAATCATATTTTTATCTCCCATTTCTATGGAATTTCCTCTCTACACATAAAAAACGTTATAGATATCCACAACCATAATGTTTTTAATTAATTTTACAGTAAATAAAAAAACGCTAGGCGTTATCACAATTTCCAGTGATTATATCTTGACTTTCCATGGTAAAGTGTTTGACTACAATAAACCATCGACGATGGCAAACGCTTGGTAATTTTTTTAATTAAAATTGACACTTTGTAAATGCTCAAATTGCTGTGCGACAACAAATGCCAACAATTCATTGGCATTGTTTATTAATTTTGATAAAATAAATATTTTTGCATTGATCCAGTTAGGAAAACAACACAACATCGTATGAGTGTCAATTTTGACGAATTAGAGATTTCATATTAAATGAACGACATTCGATATTGTATTCGGTGTGTTTGAATTTGTAACATGGAGCCACAATTCGAGTCAGTTGACAAGTCGCCTCTCCTGCCCATCGCCGAGTTCAAATGAGTTTCTTTACAAATTGCACAATTATGTGATGAACGAACGGTTAGGTGGCTGGCCAACTGACATGCCGGCCATTGGCCACTGGTGGTCAAAGGAATCAAAATGAAACATAATGACATGACTGGCAATAAAACTAAATGGAATAATGTAAAATAATCGCCAAACAATTTCAATCACATTCAGGCAAATGACAGTTGTAAATTGGCCATGGTGGGGTTAGTTTGTCGCTAAGGTTGGCATGCAAAAAAAAAGTTGAGAAAAAAGTTTAATGACTCGCCAAGGCAGCCATAACAATTAAAGTTTAAGAAATAAATTACTATTAATAATTACTCAAGGATTTCCGGAGAGAAATATTCAGAGAGAGAGAGAGCATGGTCCTTCTACGCGAAAATCTATGGAAAACTATGGTGTATCGTGGTTTTGTAAGGCTTACTAACATTTTGTTTCTCCAAAATAACATTGACTTCCTTTACTATTTAACCGCATTGTAACAAGTCTTTGTATTCTCTATTTCTTCTTCCTTCCCCTTTTGTCTAACCATTTTTGTAGGGTCTTGAATTGAGAACCTCTGAATTGGAACCGATTTTAGCGTCCTTGTCCAAACCTCATGCCGATGCCATCAAACAAAGAGTTCGTACACTCAATCAAACGGTACGAGGTCGTACCAAGAATCGCCAGAAACGTAAGCCCGATATCAGAGATGTTTTTCGAGACTTTGATGTAAGTTGGTTTCGTTTGTTGCAGTGGTAGTTATGTTGTTATTGTAATCAGATTTTGTTGATAGTTTTAAAGAGTGATTATTAATGGAAATTTTATAATATTACAGGAATCAAGTACCGGTACCCGATCACGCAGTGCAACACCAGATTCATTGGATTCAATACAAGGCGATGAAGTGTGGGGAAATACATCAATGTAAGTAGAAAATCGTATGTGTTGTAAATTTACGAGAAAGTGCCTGAAAGTATGCATCATACATGGCAAGAGAGTTTTATGGAAATTAAATATGGTCATACATGAATCCAAATTAACTACCATATTTGCTTTAAAAATACTTTATTGTGATTTAATTTGAAGCAAGATCAACAAATAATATGGAAATTAACAATATTTTAATCAATACGCCTTTCGATACATGTTTATAGACCAAGAAATCAAAGACCACCTCTTGGACGTTTGTAAAGAATTTCTTTTTTTAAAATACGCTAGAAGGGTTCTATATATTCCACGGAAATATTAATATTGCTTAAAAGTACTTCCTCTCTTTCTCAGACGTTTGAAGAGATCATAAATGACAGGAAATTCCTCTCCAGAAAAACTTTTCTGTAGACACTCATAAAATGTTGGTCCATCTGAGGGAAATTTTTCTTTCTAAAAAGTTTTTTATTAATTAAATGTTATTTAAATTTGTTTCTTAAAGCAGGGCCAGGCAAATGCAAGCACACGTCAATGAGTCTTATTCTCTCCACACATACAATGAGAACCAATAAAAAAACAATGTAATCAGAGAGATTGGGAGTACATAAAATTGTGATTATCTGCCCCTCCCAGTCTTAAAAAAGACAAAGAGATATTCTCTCTGAGTAGAAAGACTTTCTGAAAGATCTCTGTCTTAAAGAGGTAGTAATTTCAGTGAAATATGAGAGAAAACTTATGGGAGAATTCTTTTGGCAAATAACGAGTGAGTGCTGCAAAGTGCATGGGCTGACACCAACGCCAAACGCTTTCTTAGAGAAACCCAAGAAATTTTCTCATATAGAAAAACTAAAGCTTTTCTCATATAAGACTAGGGAGTAGGTATCCTCATAAGATACAGCCTTGCTCACAATATATGCATTAGTGGTGAGAGACACACTTGTCCTGTCAAACGATAAATAGAAAAGAGAAAGAGAGAGCCAGAAAAGAATAGAGTCAGTAATCTTTTCCCTTTCTACATATTTTTCAAAAAATAAAGATAGCAGCAGGATTTTATAACAGAAGAGCCGGTCGAAAATGCTTCCTAAGAAAGACCATTTGGACTTCCCATAGAATCTGTAAATAGTTCCCCTCCTAGGATAACATCAGGCTTTCTGAAATAATACTCTATCTTTTTGAAATATGACTCTTCTCATAAAAGGCTTGTAGGACATCTCATCTCCTTCTTTTTCATAGAAGGCTTCGTCAGAATTACAGAGGGCTCTATCAAAGGACCTAAATAAGCCCTGCCAATAGGACTTCTTATAGAAAACCGTATAACCTTGTCCTTGAGTCCTAGGATGTCTTCTTATAGAAAATTAAGAAAATCCCTATGGGCGTCTTCTATGTAAGACAGGGTCTTCTCAACTCCGATAGGTCTTCTCATGATAGAACATTCGACCTCAAAGAAGGCCTTTCCAAGGCCGTTTAAAAGTCAAATAGTCATAGATTCTTTCAGCCTCCTGGAGAAGGCTTTCCACTGAAACCCCGTAGATCTTCTTATAGAAGGCTTGAATGTCTTTTAAGGTTAAATATTCTCAGAGAAAATCGCCAATTCTTCTCTACTTTGGCTATTAGAAGAATTATTTGTTTGAAAATCACTGGCCTTTTGAAAAATATCAACAAAGCTTCCAAAAACAGAGAAGCAGTTGTTTTGGTAGAGGACCATCCAATACTTTTTATAAAACCATAAGACCTTCCGTAGAAGTGCAAACAAAACAAAGAGATCTTTGGATATATTAAAGAAGACAAGCAGCTTTTAATAAAATACCAGAAGGTCTTGTTGCAGAATCCCAAAACGGTCATAAAACGGGTTTCCATGGGGAAAATGGAGTGTCTTTCATTTAAGGCGAAAGGTCTTCTCAGAGAATCCTAAAAAACGACCTGTATAACTTTCAATGAAGTACATTTTCATAGAAGATCTAAAATAATGTATCACCAAGCGAAAACCAAAAAAGTTTCTTTCGTAGAAAATTAAACGATTTTTTTCAGAAAAAACGTAGAGATTTCCTCATTAAATTTCAAATTGAATTTTTATGGGATTCTTCAAAGTAGTCTCAAAATAATATGTAATAGGTCTGCTCTCAGAATAACATTTCACAAATGAAGCGATCAGTTAGTTCCTCCTCAGAGACTCGTTAGATTCTAAAAGTGAGAATACATAAAACGCTTTTTTAACTAGCGTAAGTCATCGGCTGGCTTTTTCGAAAAAGAACAAAATCGAAGGAAGTCAACATAAAACTCCGAAGAGTCTCAAAAACATATGTAATTACCTCTTAGTACTATTTGGGTTTGCCTAAAAGTATGCAACACACTCATGAAATATTTGTGAACTGGCAAATATTTTTCATTATTTGTCATGGTTTTTAATTTTTATTTTCCAATTTTATTTACTTTTATTTTTTGTTAACTCCAAAAATAATGTTTATTTCTTTATCTCGTTTGTTTAGACCGAGTTTTGTTAGTATCTTCGATCACAACACACCCAACGACAATGGCAATGGACACTCACCGCTGTTTTCGGGCAAAAGTCTTAAGCAAAAATTACGTCGCACCCCAAGTGCTCCCCTAAAAGGTTCTACCGACATATTTCGTGGCAATCATGTACGCTGTGATATTCCCATGTACTCGGCCGAGGGTATTGAACTGTTGGGCTTCTCGCGCATTGGTACCATACACATACCCAGAAATAGGAATAGATCGGGGTCGGATCCATCGTGTTCCGTGGGGTAAGTATTCTAATATTCCATGATATTAAGGATTACAAATTAATTTCTATTTACACTTTTAGTCGTGCCCGTGGCGAAATGATGACCCAGGACTCTCAAAGTGATAACAATACATCTTCAAGTGATTCCAGTGATGAATGCCTTTCGAATCATCAAAGGTTGTCGAATTCATCATCCCCCGAATCAACACCCCAAAAGATATTGAACAAAATCCATTTGGACACACCACCCCAGAGTGTGCAGAATTCGCCGTCATCGCGTGATGGTATTAGCTTTGAGAGTATGTGCCGTGAGACCTCTAGTCAAGATGGAGTGGTAAGTCCAGTTTTTAGAAAACGCGTTTTCCATGTTAATTGTTCCTCTCCTCCAGGATACTGTCGATAGCAGTGATTTATCATTGGAATTTTACTCCGACATTGATACAATAAACGAAACCGAATTGAAGCGTTTACAACCTTTATTCTGGTTGGAATTGGCTTCCATATTCGATCGCAATCATGTCCAGCTGGACAAACGGAAACCTGTCAAGCGCCGCCGCAAGGAGGAGGGCAAACTGTTTGGTGTCTCCCTAAATGCTCTGATACGCCGCGATCAGCAGATCACCGGTACAGATTCAACATTGGTGCCTTTGTTTCTGGAGGGACTATTGGATGAACTGAGCAAACGCGGTGCCCGCGAAGAAGGTATTCTACGTGTCGCCGGACACAAACAAAAGGTAAGTTGTTAATCCATTTCACAATTTGTTATAAATTTATTTGGTTTCCTCTCTTTTCCAGACTGAATTACTTTACCAAGAACTTGAATCGAGTTTCTATCAAAAACCAAAAAAATTCCAACAGCTCTTGAGCTCAGCTAGTGTCCACGATTTGAGCGCCCTGCTCAAACGTTGGCTACGCGAATTGCCCCAACCCCTGCTCACCAATGAACTCATCCAGTTATTCTATCAGTGTCATGCTCTCCCGCCCACAGATCAAGCCAAAGCCTTGGCCATTATTTGCCAAATGTTGCCGCACGAGAATCGCAACACCCTGCGTAGCCTGCTGCGTTTCTTGAACTATGTGATCGATCAAAAGGAAATGAACAAAATGAATTTGCACAATGTGGCCACCATAATTGCCCCGTCATTCTTTCCGCCTCGCTTTGTGCATCCGATCGATAAGAACAGCATAGAGGATCAGGTGAAAATGGCCGCACAATGTTGCCGCCTCACAAATGTGCTGATAACACGCGGCGAATCGTTGTTCCAAGTGCCAAATAATCTGATAGAAGAGTCCAAAGCATCGAATAAGAGACAGGTGAGTTTGAAGAAGGAGTAAAGAAAAATTTTACAAATATTAGATGCAAATATTTTGCAGCTTATGGTCTACCCTCAAAAGAGCACAAGGCTTCTCTCAGAAGTTCTTAAGGTTTTCTCTCAGAAAAATTTAAGGTCTTCTTCCAAAAGAGCTTAAGGTCTTCTCTCAGAAGTGCTTACGTCTTCTCAGAGCAAAAGAGCTTAAGGTCTTCTCTTCCGAAGAATTTTAGGTCTTCTCTTAAAGGAGCTTAAGGTCTTCTCATCAGAAGAGCTTAAGGTCTTCTCATCAGAAGAGCTTAAGGTCTTCTCATCAGATGAGCTTAAGGGCTTCTCATCAGAAGAGCTTAAGGTCTTCACATCAGAAGAGCTTAAGGTCTTCTCATCAGAAGAGCTTAAGGTCTTCTCATCAGAAGAGCTTAAGGTCTTCACATCAGAAGAGCTTAAGGTCTTCACATCAGAAGAGCTTAAGGTCTTCACATCAGAAGAGCTTAAGGTCTTCACATCAGAAGAGCTTAAGGTCTTCTCATCAGAAGAGCTGAAGGTATTCTCATTAGAAGGTCTCTTCATAGAAGACTCGAAGGTCTCTTCATAGAAGACTCGAAGGTCTTCTCATAGAAGACTCGATGGTCTTCTCATAGAAGATTCGTAGGTCTTTTCATAGAAGACTCGTAAGTCTTTTCATAGAAGACTCGTAGGTCTTCTCATAGAAGACTCGTAGGTCTTCTCATAGAAGACTCGTAGGTCTTCTCATAGAAGACTCGTAGGTCTTCTCATAGAAAACTCGAAGGTTTTCTCATAGAAGACTCGAAGGTCTTCTCATAGAAGACTCAGAGGTCTCTGTATAGAAGACTCGAAGGTCTCTTCATAGAAGACTCGAAGGTCTTCTCATGGAAGACTCGATGCTCTTCACATAGAAGAGTCGAAGGTCTTCTCATAGAAGACTCGAAGGTCTTCTCATAGAAGACTAGGAGGTCTTCTCATAGAAGACTAGGAGGTTTTCTCATAGAAGACTCGAAAGTCTTCTCATAGAAGAGTCGAAGGTCTTCTCATAGAAGACTCGAAGGTCTTCTCATAGAAGACTCGAAGGTCTTCTCATAGAAGACTAGGAGGTCTTCTCATAGAAGACTAGGAGGTCTTATCATTGAAGACTTTTCTCGTAGAATACTCGAAGGTTTTCTTTTGGAAGACTTAAATGTCTTTTCGTAGAAAACTCGAGTGTCTTTGTCATGGGAGACTCGAAGACTTCTCATACAGAGCTTTAAAAGTCTTCCCATAAAAGGTCTTAAATGCTTTTCCCATCAAAAACACTTTTCATACCAGATAAGAAGCTCTTCTCATAGCAGTTCCGATGCTCTTTCCATAGCAATGGAGAAGCTCTTCTCATAGCAGTTGAGATGCTATTCTAATTGCTATTAAGAAGCTCTTCTTACAGTAGGAGGAAAACTATTCTCATGGCAGATGGGAAACTCTTTTCCTCTTTTTAAGGACTTATTTTTTTAAATTTTTTTTATTTTTCATGATTTCATTCATTTACTATTTTCTTAAATTTTTTGATTTTTATTAATTCTTGTTTTTCTGTTCTCTTTCCTTCTTCCAGGGCAAACGTGGTCTTCATCGGCGGGTAAAGGCAACCACATCCCTGCTGCATGTGAGCAGTTCTCCCATCAGTAATAACATTAATAACAATAACAACAACAACAGTAGTAATAATAATAACAATAATAATAATAATAATAGCAACAACAATAACAATAATATCCATCATCACAACAATACCAGTACCATCTCCATTGGTGAGAATGGCAGCATGGTAACACATCAGCAGTCAATTAATCCAAGTCATGTACATCGTTTAATTATTTAAATTAAATTAAAAGTAAATGAAAACACACAAAATTGATGCGGGGTCAAGCATCTATGTCAAAATGGTTGTTGTCCAAACCATAGATAAAACAAAAATATAAAATTAAAAAAAATAAAACAACGGACCAAAGAGTCAGAATTCTTCCATTACAACAGTAAATATATATTTAATAACAATTTAACTTGCGATCAAAACAAAAACATAATGATAATTTAAATTAAACAAAAAATTAATTAATTAAAAAAAGAAAGGTGTCTAATCAATTTTAAATTTTATGTCATTTGAAAACGAAAAAAAATATGATATATAAAAAAATAAATATTATTGTAATTCTTTTGAGACAAAAATAAAATTGAAAATTGTGTGCATAGTTTTGAGAATGATAAAATATCTAAAAAAAACACTCAAATATCATTATTTCATTTATAAATAATATTACATTTTTTCTTAAATATATCCATACATTATAAGTTAGTTGTATGTAAACCTTCATTGATATAGCAATCTAGTTTGTGTATTATATATTATTATTTTTTTTTCATATCTCTTAGTTAAGTTTTAAAATTCTATTTTTTTCTTCTTCTTTTTTTCTTTCTATTTTAGCTATGTAAGTTTAATTCTTTGCTAGAACAAATGAAATGTTGCATAGAAGTTGACGACTTGTAATTTCGTGCAAAGGCATTTTATGTCCTCTTTTATTTTCGTCTGCTATATCATCATAATACCTGCAATTTATCCTTAGCTTTATTTAATTTCTAAGAAATCTTAGTCACATTTTTAGTGCTGTAGAGTACGATTACTCTACGATTTTATGTTCTGCATTTCATCAAAATTGCTTTTTTGTGATTGGCTTTAATTGATAATATCAAAAAGATACATTTATTTCCGTTTTTTTTTTGTTATTTTAATTTAATTTTTTTTTTTCAATAAAAAATCAAGTCAACATCCTAAATGGAAAAAATATTGAAACGTTTCAAAAAATGTATTCCAACATGGAGTCATCTGAGCACTTTTCTTCCCATTCTGTGTAAAAAGTTGGCCCAACACAGTTTCCAAAAGCCATAAAATTTGGGGATCAATGCCATTACATCTCCAATCTGGCAATGTTATATGAATAGTTCTATTCCAACCATTCAAATGCAAATGTAGTTGTGTTGACTTTTCCACATCTCGTTTTATTTTACTTTCTTTTTTAAGTTTAAAAGCGTAATTTCATAACTTTCATGAAATCCTTTTAATTTTTTCATAATTCACATCTTTTTCCCATCCTCCTTCAAATACGAAATACGATCAAAATTGTATTAAAGAAATATTTTCTTTTATTTTAAAATACATAATTAGGTTATAAAACATTCAAACGCACATTTTAGCTAAATTTTCTTTTCACGTGGCAATTCGAACGCCAATTTGTAGGCGTTCGCAAAAAAATACATAATCGAAATTTTATTTCCATTGCTTTACTTTATATCTCGTTATAAGTTCTCCATGTATTTGTATTATATAATTATAGTTTTAAAACGCTATATTTTTTGCTAGTTTTAATTTTTATTTAGTCTTTTTCTTCTATAAGTTTAGAGCGTTTGCTAATTGTATGGCAATCGATTTACTTTTAGTTAAGAAAAACACAAGAAATATTTTTTTTAATTTTTGCTTAGTTGTATTCTAAAAATAATAATACAACAACAATAAGAAAAAAATACAAATATAAAGTGTGTACATCTAGTAATTGTGTCTTCGTGTACATCAGGAATATTAAACCAATAAAAATGCATATGATATTTTTTTATAAAAATTCCTTTTGTTTTATTTGTTTCATTTTCATAAATGAATTTCATTAGATTTGAAATTCCTTTAATTGGGCGCCATCTTTATATTGTGGTCGTTTCAAATCCTGGACCTTTTCGATGGACATCTTTCTGGCCATTATACTTTTGTAATATCTAACTGCAGCCACTTTAGTTGCGAAATGTGGCTAAGAACTTTGAATACAATAAAAACAAGTTAAAAAGCAGTAAGTTAGGCCGGGCCAAACTTTGAATACCCTTCACCATTTGGAACGAATTTGGAAATTTTAAAAAAATAAAATCCTTAAAAATTCTGTTAAAATTTTAAAAATACCAAATATAGCCGTTATATTGGGGTCTATACGACGTGGACCTACATAGGCATGGTTTGCCATAAGCCATTACCATATTCAAATTCGAAACTTGAAATAAACGGTGAATAATGTAGCTAAAATCATCAAAATATCGTATATAGGAAGTTATCGTTATATCGGAGCTGTGCGAAGACCTGGACATGCATAGATAATTTTCTGTCACAAGCTGTAGCTTCCATTACGAACTTCAAATACCACATCTCAAACAATTTCGGTGGGTATTGTCAATCGCATTAAAATCGTCAAAATACCGAATATAGGGATGTACTGATATATGGAGTCTATACGAAGACCTGGACCTGCATAGACAATTTTCTGTCACAGACTGTAGTTCCCATAACGAACTCTAAATACGTAATTTAAAACAATTCTGGTGAATAATGAAGCTAAAATCATCAAAATACCGATTATTGGGAGGTACCGTTATATGGAGCTATACGAAGACGTGGATATGCACAAACTATTTTCTGTCTTAGGGTGTAGTATCCATTTCGAACATCAAATACCAAATTTGAAACAATTCCAGTGAATAATGTAGCTTAAATCATCAAAATACCGAATATAGAGAAGTACCATTATGTGGGGGCTATACCAAAACGTGGTCCTGTACAGACAATTTTCTTTCATAGGCTGTAGTATTCGTTACGAACTTGAAATACCAAATATGAAACAATTCCGGTAATAAGGGCCTAAAATCATCAAAACACCGCATATCGGGAGATGCCGTTATATGGGGGCTATACAAAGATATAGACCTTTACAGACAATTTTCTGTTTTAGGCTGTAGTATCCATTATGAACTTCAAATAGCAAACTTGAAACAATTACGGTGAATAATGTCGGTAAAATCATAAAAATACCGAATGTCGGGAGATACCGATATATTAATGTCAAAAACAATATCTTTCTCTACACCCTAGACACCAAGTGACCTCGATACCAAATCCATATCAAATTTCAGGACTTCATTTCTATTCCTTCACCAAATACCAATTTTTGCAGTATTTAGTTATTTTCGTACAGTAAAATTATGCATTATCAAAATAATCTCCATATTGCAACCTCAGATTAAAACAGTGACTTTTATATCAAATTTCAGGATTTCAACGCTGCAATTTTGTACCATTTAGTACCAAATGGTACCAAATTTTGTACCATTTAGTACAATTTAGTACGCATATCCAAAACCAACTCCTTCTCTCAACCACACACAACACTATAAATATCAGATTTCAAAATTTTATCTCTAACCCTTCAACCTTGATTAAATTTAGTACCAGTTAGTACTTTTCGTACAATTATGGTACACATTTCCAAAACCACCTCCATATCTAAATACCAGACACCAACAGAACCTTTACCCTACACCCAATTTAGTTTCACTTAGTACTTTTCGAACAATTATCGTACACTTTTCCGAAACTACTTACATATCTTTACCGCGGACACCAACAGTGTCAACCATATCATATTTGAGGAATTTACCTCTATTCATTCACCCAATACAAGATTTAGCACTTTTCGCACAAATCACAACCACCTCCATATCTCAATTCCAGAAATCAACAGAGGTTTCAGGGCCTGATTTGAGGCTTCCAGACCTATCCCTTCACCCAATACCAAATATAGTAACATTCAGTACTTTTCGTACAATCAAGTTTCCGAAACCACCTCTAAATTTAAAAACTACATTCATATATCAAACTGACTTTGCAACCTTGATTCTCATTCCAAATTTTAAGTTTTTAGCTCCATCCGTTCAAATCATACCATTTTGGAAGTTTAGTACCTGTCTAGAACTTTTGGTAACGTCAAAGTTCGAATTTTCAAAAACACTTTGGTACATCTATCCCGCACTCCATTACTGACTCGTATTCCAAATTTCAGAATTTTAACTTATTTCGTTTGTTCAAAACAAAATATTAAATTGTTAGTACATTTTTGTACTTTCGTATACTTTTAGTATGAATTCTCAAGAATCCAGTCTTCTTAGCCCCCGTGCAAAATTCCAAGCCGCTTCGCCTGGGCGTTGATTCTCTGTCAGGCAGCTTACGCTTGTACTGGAAAATCTTAGACATAGGCGCAAGTGTCTTTGGACGAGATCCATTTCGAGCATATGGACTCCATTTGGCAAGCTGAACATCATCAAGCTGTTACATCATAATATTTTGTTACGCATGGACATCGTAGGTCACAGCACCAAAAACATTGAAATTAGTGTTCAATTTTTTTTATGTAAATTACATTTAATCGGAGATATCCTTCTGATACCTTAACAAGTTAAAAAGCAGTACGTTTGGCTGGAACGAATGTGGAAATTTTCAAAAAATAAAATCCGTTAAAAGTTCTGTAAACAATTTAAAAATACCGAATATATCCTTTATATCGTGGTCTATACGACTTGGGCCTACATAAGCATTATTTGTCATGAGCCATTACCATATTCAAATTCGAAACAAGAAATAAAGTGTAACTAAAATCATCAAAATACCGTATATAGGGAGGTATCGTTATACCGGACCTATACGAAAACCTGGACCTGCATGGAAAATTCTCTGTCACAGGCTGTAGCATCCATTACGAATTTTAAATACAACAACTCAAACAATTTCGGTGAGTATTGTACCTAAAATCGTCAAAATACCGAATATAGGGAGTTACCGTTATATCGGACCTATACGAAGACCTGGACCTGCAGAGACAATTTTCTGTCACAGACTGTAGTTCCCATTACGAATTCTAAATACATAATTTGAAACAATTCCGCTGAATAATGTCGCTAAAATCATCAAAATGCCGAATATCGGGAGGTACCGTTTTATGGGAGCTATACGAAGACGTGGATCTGCACATACAATTTTTTTGTAATAGGCTGTAGTATCCACTACGAACTTCAAATACCAAATTTGAAATAATTCCGGTGAATAATGTCTCTAAAATAGTCAAAATACAGAATATCGGGAGGTACCGTTGTATGGATGCTATATGAAAACGTGGACCTGCACAGACAATTTTCTGTCTTAACTTCAAATACCAAATTTGACACAATTCCGGTGAATAATGTTGCTAAAATCATTTACGAACTTAACCTGCCTACTGGCAAAATAGACATGTGTGCCTTCTATCTCAATTCGTTCGAAAGATAGCGTGATTACAAAAGACAGACGGACGGACAGACGGATGTATCTAAGTCCACTTAGAATTTTACGCTGATCAAGAATATATATACTACCCTCCGTAGTATGGTGGAGGGTATAAAAAGTTTGGAAATTCATTGTGCAAATTTTGCTTATCGGAATATAAGAAATATTAAGTCGAACCATTTTCTGAAATATTTTCTAACTTGTTTAATTATTTTATATTTAAAATCGATTTAGATCTACCGTAAATTTTGAAAATACACTACAATTTTGCGTGAATATAAACATTTACATCCCATTTTTTAGCTATTAATATATCCACTACTAACTGAAGTTTGATATCTGTTTGTTCTATGCCAAATATAGCTTGCGTCCATTAAGTTGAGCGCCCTCTATTGACGGATAGTATTGTTATAATTACGCATTTGTCTTTGCTAAGTTTACACCAGCGGCATCTATGCCTGAGATAAACAACAGTGTATAGAATTGGATACGGCAACACCATATCATTTAACTAAGCAAAATATAGAGCATAGTTTTAGGAAGAACATGATACTAGTCGACAAAGTAGAAAAATAATAATATGTTATTTGGATCTTCCTAGCTCGCCGAGCTGAGTCGATCTAGCTATGTATGTCCGTCCGTCCGTCTGTCCGTCTGTCCATGTTAATTTGTAATCACTCTACAGGTCGCAATTATGGCCCGATCCTAACGAAATTTTGCACGAAGGTGGGGTTAGGGTCAGAATTTCTTTTGAAGACGATCGCATAATATTTAGGGGTTGAAATGGACCAAAAACTGAAAAATTTCATGATTTTGCAGTTGCTCTACAGGTCGCAATTATAGACCAATCAAAGCGGAAGTTAGCATGGGGCTAAAGCTTAGGGCTGGGCAGAAGCCTTCCAATTTTGATGGTCATCGGGTAATATTTAGTGGTTGAAATAGACCATAGCATTTGTGATAAATAAAAGTCAAATTTTCCATTAAACCGCGAATATTTTTAATGCGGGCGATATCACAAATAGACGAACAGGTCAATTCTGACCGTTACGTAGATGCCGATAGTAAAAATATCGGTTATATATAGCGAAATATATACAATGTGTGTATACAAAGGAAGGGGATGTTAGCTAGAATGCTTATATCTCCAGAATGGCTGGAGCGATTTTGACAAATTGTGTAAATTTAGAATGCCCTTTTGGCATAAAAGTATAAAATCTAAAAAAATCGCATAAAAAAATGCCAATAATGATGTTAATATAGATTTTTTAGTATTTTGTGATATTTTTTTATTTTTTCATATTTTTTATCGCATGCGATTTTTTCAATTTGACTTATAATATTGAAGTGAATATTTTGTAATATTTTTTCACCTTATAACACAGGTTGAGGATATTATATAAGTATTGCAAATATCGTCCTATCGTCACTAAAATTTTCACAAGGGTAGGGTTGGACTCAGAAGGGCTAGGCCTATTGTTTTCAAAGATGTCC